CTGCTGCTGCTGCTGCTGCTGCTGCTGCTGCTGCTGCTGCTGCTGCTGCTGCTGCTGCTGCTGCTGCTGGTGCTGCTGGTGCTGCTGTTTGCGTTGCGGCTGCTGCAGCTTGTGTTACTGCAGCTGTTGTTTGTGTTGCTGCTGCTGTTGTTTGTGTTGCTGCTGCTGCTGTTCGTAGTGCTGCTGGTGCTGTTCTTACTGGGGCAGCTGCTGCTTTTCCTATTTGTGTTGCTGCTGCTCTTGTTGCTCCGTTCATGTTGCTGCTTCTGCTGCTGCTGCCCTTACTGCTGCTGCTGCTGCTAATCTTGTTGCTGCTGCCGCTGCTGCTGCTGCTCTGTTGCTGCTCTGTTGCTGCTGCTGCTGTTGCTGCAGCCTCCCGTACTCTCACTCCTGCTGCTGCTGCTGCTGCGGCGCCTTGTTTGCTGCTTCTGCTGCTCCCGTACTAATTGCTGCCGCACGCTTCCCACTTGGTGCAGCCTCGCCCCTGCTGCTGCTGCTGCTGCTGCTGCTGCTGCTGCTGCTGCTGCTGCTGCTGCTGCTGCTTAGGCCACTGCATAGAGCTGATGGCTGCTTCTGACAATGTCATAAGAGGGGGTTTGACTTCCAAAACCCTAAACCCTAATTTGCTGCTGCAAACCCTCGACTTCAAACCCTCGGCGCAAACCCCCGCAACAAATGTGCAGCAGCTGCTGCCGCCGGAGCAGCAGCAGCAGCTGCTGCTGCTCAAGCAGCTCTGCACCCCTCCAGACCAGCAGCAGCAGCAGCAGCAGCAGCAGCAGCAGCAGCAGCAGCAACTGCAGCAGCAGCAGCAGCAAGGGGAGTGCCGCTTATACTACCCTCCTCTTTACAAATTTAACGAATTCTGCACAGCGAGGGTTTTGCTGCCTCCCAATGCCAAAGTGACTCCAAACCCTAAACCCTAAACCCTAAACCCTAAACCCTAAACCCTAATTTCTGATTGCTGAGGTCTCGACGACAAACTCTCAGCTGCATGGTCAAATCATATGAGCTGCTGAAAATGTCCAGGCATCTGCTGCTGCTGCATCTGCTGCTGCTGCATCTGCTGCTGCTGCATCTGCTGCTGCTGCATCTCCTGCTGCTGCATCTGCTGCTGCTGCATCTGCTGCTGCATCTCCTGCTGCATCTGCTGCATCTCCTGCTGCATCTGCTTCTGCTGCAGCAGCGTCTGCTGCCGCTGCTTCTGCATCTCCTGCTGCTGCTGCATCTGCTGCTGCTGCCACTACTACTACTGCATTCTGCTTATCTGCTGCTGCTGCTGCTGCTGCTGCTGCTGCTGCAGAGGTCTCTCGCGCTGCTGCATCGAACCCCAGGTGTGCTGCTGGTGCTCTCTGCGCCTTGGCCTGCCGTCATGCGCGTTAGCAGCAGCAGCAGCAGCAGCAGCAGCAGCAACAGCAGCACCAGCAGCAGCAGCTGCAGCAACAGCAGCAGCAGCAGCAGCAGCAACAGGAGGGACATGTGCGTGCCTTTGCGAGCTGGGGACATATTTTTTATTGCTGCTGAGTCGACCGTTACTTTGGTGAGTAGGAGCTGCTGCTGCTGCTGCTGCTGCTGCTGCTGCTGCTGCTGCTGTTGCTGCCGCTGCTGCTGCTGCTGTTGCTGCCGCTGCTGCTGCTGCTGCTGCTGTCGCGCCTTTGCTGCAGCTGCAGCCGCTGCTTTGATTTCATGCTGCAGGAAACTGGAGAGAAGCAGCAAATGGGAAAAGAAGAAGAAGTGCAAAGAAGCACAAACCCCATTGCCAAGCTGCTGCAGCAGCTGCAGCAGCAGCAGCAGCAACAGCAGCAGCAGCAGCAGCAGCAGCAGCAGCAGCAGCTAAACAGCAGCAACAATTTCCTCGCTTTCCTTGTAACTGGAGGCTTGACAGCGCAGATGTTTCAATGATGAAGCCACAGCTGCTGCTGCCGCTTCAGCGGCTGCTGCTGCTGCTGCTGCTGTTGCTGCTGCTGCTGCAGCAGCTGCAGCTGCTTTTTTTTGCATTTTCTTTTGCTGCTCTTTCGCCTTGAGATGCTTTGCCTAACTCCTTTGATTTAATTATTTACTTTTTTATTTTATTTTATTTTATTTATTTGTTTATTTATTTTATTTATTTATTTTAATTTATTTTAACTTATTTTATTTATTTGTCTTTATATAATCATTTTTGGTTTTCTCCCCCTTTTCCCTGTCCTGCAGCTGCAGTGCACGTACACCTCAAGCTCTAAACCCTAAACCCTAAACCCTAAACCCCAACCCAAAACCCTAAACCCTAAACCCTAAACCCTAGGTTTTGGCTGGCTTTGAAGCAAAAGAACAAAACAAGACCAACAAATTAAATAGGGTTTATAAAAACAAATTAATTAATTGCCACAAATAAGCTAACTGGTGGCGTGGCCGTCCCCCGCGCAAACCCTAATTTAGGGTTTAGGCGGCTCTCTCAAGCCCCAAACCCTAAAACAGGGTTTCTGTGGACTCCGCAAACCCTAAAAACGGGTTTGGCGAGAGCCCTCGCCGCGCTGCCTTTGCATTTGCGCGGCTGCGGGTCGCTGGAGGCTGTGTGCGCTTGCGGGAGCCAAACCCTAATTTAGGGTTTAGGGTTTAGGGTTTACTCCTCATCGTCGAATCCTTCGTTGACGTCGCCTGCGTCTTCCTGCTGCTCCGGGTCCGCGTCGTCGGGGTCGCCCCCGCCCCCGCTGCTGCTGCTGCTGCTGCTGCTGCTGCTGCTGCTGTTGCTGCTGCTGCTGCTGAACCTTTCTGAAATCTTTTTAGCAGCAATTAAAACCAACCCTATTATCGAAGCAGCTAACAAAACCCCCAAAACCCAAATGCCCATTGTGGCTCCGCTCAGCAGCACCAAAGTTGCCAAGACACCCGAAATCAGCAGCACAACTGTCAGCTTCTTCGTTTTGCTGCTGCTCTTCTTTTCTGCTGCTACTCCAGCAGCAGGATCTTCCACAAACGACGCAGCCACCTCTCTGCTGCTGCTGCTGCTGCTGCTGCTGCTGCTGCTGCTGCTGCTGCTGCTGCTGCTGCTGCTGCGGGGCAGCAGAAGGGAAACAGGGCGGATCTGAATCAGCGCTGTGGTTGTGACCTGCTGCTGCTGCTGCTGCTGCTGCTGCTGCTGCTGCTGCTGCTGCTGCTGCTTCTTGGCGTGGCGTTTGCTGCGTTTGGCGTTTTTTTTGGAGAGTTTTGCTGCTCTTTTTTGCTGCTTCTTGTAGACAGTTTTGAGCAAAGTGCTGCTGATTTCTGCTTCTGCTGCTGCTGCTGTTTTGTCGAGAGAAAAAACAAAAAAAGAATTAAAGACTTTTGCGAAGTGTGCGCGGCTTGCTGCTGCGGGGTGTACAGGCAGCTGC